ATAAATATACAGAAGTAAGGGCGAATATAAAAGCATAAAAGAAGGAAAAAAAAATCTTTTTAAAAAAAATTTATTACTGCTAATTAGTGCGGTGAACGAATTTGTGAATCACATGAATTCTGTATATTGCTACTGCAAAACAATGGAATATGTAGGATTCATGAGGTTCACAAACTCATTTACTGCACTAATTCGAAAACAGCGATAAACAGGGCTAAATCCTGTAAGGCGAACATAAAGTAGTAATTAAATGAGCCAGGCCCACATCTGGCAATCTGCAAGATCTACTGATCCAATCGACTTGAATCTATATATTGCTTACCCATTTCAATATGACTCCAGGAGTTCCAGGTGCAAATTCAGGCCACATTCCAACGTAACTATCAAAAGTTTTTTTGTCTGCTTGACATTTTTGATAGAGTGCTCCCGTACACTACTGATTATAATACTCGGGCCTTTGGTGTAATAAAACTTCCAAAACTACATAAAACACAACTTCATAAATTGAGATGCAAGATTGCATAATATTGCAAGATATTAATACCGTAAAAGTCTACATGAATACATCCTGCACTATGAAGATTATCTAAATCTTCTAAAATATCCTGAAGTAGTTTTAATTTAGCCCGCCAGTTAAGTTCTTGAAAATTTTTTCTTAAAAGCTTATGAGGACTTCCATAATTGATATATTGAAATATTATCATATATTCGTAGTTATATACTTTATGCTTAATTTAAAATGAATTAGTACAATTATATATTTACAATTATTTAACTTACTTCTTTCAAAAATAAAGGTATCTTAGAATCTGATAGGGTCTTGAGTGCAACAGTGCTAGATAGATCACACGGTCTTCCATAGCAATAAGTTTCTGTTTTGTTAATTTTTCATGAATCATCCAACAGACCGCAGAGTATTCACAACCAAGTACAAGATTCATGTGTATTACATTCATTGTAATGTGTATGAATTCTATTTAATATAGTTGATTAATAAATGTTTTTTACACTTATAAACTAAATTAACGAGAGTAAATAAAATTAAATAGTGAATATTTATGAACTTAATAACTTACATCTTTTAAATGCTTAGATTAGTAAATGTTCTATATATTCACTAAATTGACGCAAATAAAGTGAAATAAGCTAAATAAATTAAATAGGTTAAAATAGTAAATTCAGAAATTGGATTTAATTTATTGATTGGCCAATTATATTTGGATTGACATAAACCAACCTGCATCCACCCGGGTGCTACAATCGTACAATTGTAACCTGGATATCTGATTTACCCACGTTGAACCAGGCAGGTTGACCCAACCCGGGTTCAATTACTGCATATATATATATTTAATACATGACATATCATGTGCATGCGCGTTATTTCGAAAATCAGGTTTGGCAAAAATTTAATATTGTTTCAAAATAACGCCCATGCGCGTATTCGAATTAACGCTCAGGGACTCAAAATAATGTGCAGATGGGCGTTATTTTGCGAAAATACGGTACAGAATATTTATTTCTAATATAGTACTTTGTAGAAAAGTCAAAATTAAGTTTCAAAATATTGTTTATATAAATATTCTTGTTTTCAAACATATATATTTATATATTTGTTAATACTGCTATATACTATCACAGTTTCTAAATAAATATATGACTAGTAAATCTATTTTTAATTATATTTTATTTGATTTAAAAAATAAATAATATCAACTGTTTTAGTACACAATATATCTATCTTTTGAAGATAATAAGCTGAAACACCTACTTTTTTTCCAAAAAAATGATAAGATAACTTAATATCTTTATAGCAAATTAGTATAAGATAAATTGTTAAAATAAAGTCAAAGTTAGAATTAGGTTAAAGCAAAAAACTCCAAGAATAAAAAAAAATTTAACAAAGACAGTATAATAAAACAGTATTGAAGATATTAGTATAATAATTTAAAAAAACTGTCAAAGCTGTTGTAGCAGACCAATATGAAGAAAAAAGAAAAACCAAAGAAGAAAAGAGAAAGAGAATCAAGAGATAAAATACTAAAGGTCTCACAAAAACAAAATCTTAAATAAGATTCAAGAAGAAACAAGACCAAAGATTTTGTTAATAATTCCATCAAAATGGATAACAAAAATAATATATCAAGCAAGTATAGAAAACTCACAAAGCAATAACAAAAAAAAACTAGAAAAAGAAAAGAAAAAATTTACTAATAAATTAGATACAATGATTAAGATCTCAATAGATTATTAATACAAATTTAATTCAAGAAATATTAACAGGAAGATCAAAGAGAATCAAAAATTAGAAAAGAAAAAAGAAGAATATATTACTAGAAATAGTAGAAAAAATTTTAGTAGAACTGTTTAGAAACTAAAAAATTTTTATTAAAATACAAGTTTTTAGAAAGAAAACCAGATATTAAAAAGAAAAGAAAAGAAAGAAGACTTGAGCAGATTAATCAAAATTTAGAAACAAAAAAACTAAAAGAAGCCTCTAGACAATTAAAAAAAGAGAAGACCTTTAGAAGAATACTCTTAAAAAAGATTTCTAGAATAAGCTACTCAGAAGTAGAAAAGAATATAAAGCTATAAAATGAAAGAAAAAGTGTAAAGAGAAGAATATAAAAAGATTTCTAAAAGCTAAATCTCTAATTAGAAAGAACAGAATGAATTAGAAGAAAAAAGAAGATAGCTCAAGTATAATTCAAAAACTTTTGGCAATAATCTTTTAATAAAAAACAAAATAAAATTAAATATTAATATAGAACTAGAATTAGATTATTGTTTTAAAAAGAAGAATAGACTAGAAGAAAAAAATTGCCAATTAAATATAGTTAAAAAATTTTTTGAAATAAAACTGGTATAGCCTTTTGGTGCAAACAATAGCCTTAACTGATAAGACAGACTGCACTTGGGTACCTATAGAGGAAGCTAAGTGATGTGAATCTGTAATTTTGATAGTTTAGAATATACTTGTATATTTGTTTTAATCTAATAAAAATACTGATAAGGCAGCCAATAAATAGAAAAAAAATACTAGATTATTTTTTAAAATATTCTATATAATCAAACTTCTAGTTTATAAAAGTTATTAATAAATTATAATTATAATTAATTTTTAAAATTATATTAAATTTAATAAAAAAAAGCTAAATAGTATACTATGCACTTTGTATACTTTATAGCAAAATTGAGCTAGCAATAGATATTAGGTTAAGTTAAGATTAAAATTAGAGATTTAGAGTTAGAGTAAGGTAAAATTTTAAGAGAAATATTTTGCTTATATTATACAACAGGGTTATCTAGTTAAAATTTTGAGAAATTAGTAATTTCATAGAAATTTTATAGGAAGATGCACAAAGTGAAGAGTGTACTATAGAGTCTTGTTCAATTTAATATATTAAAAACTAAAAAATTGCTTAATACAAAAAATTTTTTTATTAATTTTATTATTAATATAAATACAAATTTGCTAAATAATTTTTGAATATTTGTCAAATTTTTATATATAAAAAATTAAGCTTTTTAATTTTTTAGATTTTTAATAAATTTTCTAAATTTTTATATATAAAATTGTTTTTACTTGTTTAGATTTTTAATAAAATTTTCAAATTTAGTACAATTTTGTCTAAAAAAATTTTACAAATTAAGAAATACCATCTTGCAAACAAATTCTATAAAAATTTCAAGATTGATCTATAATTAAGCCATCAAATTATATTTAAATTACAGTAGTTTCATAATAAATTTACAGTTAAAGGGATAACAGTTATGTTGGTGAAATAAGTAGTTGACAAACCAAGTAATCATAAATAAGTAGTTAATAAAATAAGCTGTCTATAGAATAAACTTGCCTGTGAATTAATTGCTATAAAATAAATGACTGTAAATTAATTGTCAAAGGAATGAATTAATCGAGTATGAAGTGAATAACTTCTGTTTTTGCTAGACTTAGAAATTAAAATTTGAAAAGGACATAGAGATGTATCAGTTTTTTTTGTTAGTGCTAAAAATAGGTTATAAACAAAAATTTCTTTGTCTCTATCATACAAAATTGATTTACGTCTAATTCTAGAAAATTATTAATAAATTGCATACTAGTAATAATTCGTGTGGATTTAAAGTGGATCTAAGAAAAAGTCATGAGAAACTAAAGATTAAGCTTACGTCGGAATTAGTTAAAATATCGGTCATTTTTGATAATCCTTTTATTTTAGCTCAAGTTCTAAAAGCTATTTTCAAAAAGCACATAATCCCGACGAAGTTAATTTCTATTAGTTATAAGGCTGACCGATTTTTTCGGAATTGTTTTGGTAAATATTGGTCAATATTTATGAGGTTTATTTAGATTATTAATTATAGACAGAGGTTAGATAAAAATATAAGCAATTGTAAGGTACCATCATGAGATCTGGTCCAATTTGAAGTAACTTGATAGTTTTTATAGGATAAGGTGAAACCTAAGTTGATTTTTTTTATCAGTATGGATACGAAAAAAGTGAAATTCACGTTCTTTAGGTTACTTTTTGATGTAAATCTACAATTGATTAGGTAGGTAGTGGCGTGTATCAATAAAGTAACCACCATTGACGCGAGTTTCAACCTGTCGTATTTTTATTTTTAGTAAGTAATGAAACCAGCAAATCACATTTTTTTTGGACCAGACATTACATTTATAGTGACATGGATGACGCTGAAATAATAATAATATGCATTATCCTATGATTTTATGTTAGGCTATTATCAAATTATGAATTCTTTTAATTATTGTTCATTTTACATTTTTCATTTTTTTTCCGGTGAGCGACCGATTGAACTACATTAATAATTTCATCTATATAAATTAACATTTTTGTCAAAATAATTAGTTGACACTAAAATGTAGTAATATTTCTTAAAATACTGACCAGGTTTATTAGTAGAAAGTCGTTTCATCATTTCAAGTTCTTTGGAAGAAAATTGTTCGAGCATAAGTTTAAACTTCTCAAGCATCTCCCTCTGTTTATCTCGGCCATCTTCCCTCTGTCTATCTCGACTATCTATTAGTTGTTCATCTAGCTGTTCGTCTTGTCTATTCAACTTACGCTTATCTACTAAATTATCATGCATACTCTTGAAGATTTTGAAGATTGATAAGAATGATTAGATCCGGAATCAAAGGATTGTTAGATGTTTTTTCTAAAGCGAAAGAACATACCTCGCTAGATTCTATAAAGTGTGATAGATTTATTTTTAAAAGCTGTATAAAAAAAAATTAGGGACGTTATTACTTTAAATAATTCTCACCGGTTTCAGAAATAAGAATTTGTGGTAATTCTGTTTGAATCAGATTTTCATCATATGTTATATCAATATCGTTATCTTCATCGTATACAGATTCATTCAATTCATTCTGTTGTAATTCTATTGGCTGCTGCCATTCGTCACCTGATATGATGTCGTCTTCATGGATTAATTCGTACACCTTTTTAATATCTGGCCGAAAATCAGGATTCCCATTCCAACAATCTGTATAAAGCCCAACATAAGAAGCTTTGGAGCCAGCTATTGGTTTTTCCCGTTCTCCTCTTATTAATTCAATTGAAAATAGATCAAGTGAAAACTCTCGGGGATGTTTTTGGAACGGCGGTCGGCCATTACTTGTAATTTCCCACAAAATTACTCCAAGGCTATATATATCAGATCTACGATCAGGTTTTAGCTCCTTATTATTCAAGATTTTAGGGTCTATAAATGGTATGACACCACCTATCAACTGATTTGATGTACTATTACGAGGGATAACCTTTGAAAGCCCAAAGTCTGTAATAGTAACTCTAATACCATACTTGAAACTTTCATCACTTTCATCATTTTTAATAACCACATTTTTTGTATGCTGATATAAAAATAATTTCTTAATTAATGTCAGATTATAATATTAATTAGCTATTAAGAAAATATGCAACTTACTAAATCACGATGTAAAATTTCATTTTCATGCAAAAAAAATAGGCCGCAAACAACCTGTCTTGCAATGTCAACCTTTTGGCCCCAATCTAAATTACTATGATTCAAATAATAACGTAAATCACCAAGCTCTGCATATTCTAATATTAGGTAATGTTCTATTTGAGTCGAAGAAACAGTGCAAAAGATAAATATATAATAGCTACGTAAGGTTCATATTAATACAGCATATATAATTTACCGGATCTTGTACTATTTTTTTTTTTTGAAAAAAAGATGACGATAAGTGGTTCAAATTCAACAGCGTGAGGCATATAATATTATACGTATAAAGTTTAAAATACCGATGCTTCGTTGCACCAAAAAATTTGATTACATTTTTACAACCTATCGGTAATGTCTTTTCTTTATTTAACAACACTTGTTCGATTTCGTGAAAAGCTTTAATCTTTTAAGCATAGAAGAAACTTATCAGAATTTAAAAAGCTACAAATTAACGGAGCTGTCCTACCTCTTTACTAAATTCTTGGTTATCCTTAAACTCTTGGTTATTCTTGATAAAATTTTGATTATCTGAATCTGCTTCATCCAAATCAGCTACAGTTTTTAGAACAATTACAATATTCCTTGTCTTCCATTTAGCTTTTAAAACTTCTCCAGAACATCCCATATGAAGACGTTCTATAATTTCGAATTCGTCCCAACAGAAGCTCGTTATTATTCCCTTTTTGCTAATTCTTTCGAGATAATCATCCTTAGTTTCATTACGAATCGTTAATAATTTAGAACTACTTATTATTGACTCGTCATTTTCATTCTCAGACATGACGACAATATTACGAAAGCTTGAAAATTAGACATTTGTTTAATTAATATTTTCAATCCAAATTTATATTTAATCGTTTAGTAAGAATTTTTTTTATTTGTTACTATGCCAATCCTAACCTTCTACATTCTTTACTTTGCATTACTATAAACACTGATTTATAGATTAATTTTCCAAAATAATGCGTAATGATAATTATCCATGATTAACACAAACCATCATAGCTTTAACCTAAACTTATACATTAGTGATGATTTCGGCTAAGAATTTAATTGTCACAAAAAAAGCCATGGCTATTTCCTGGGTAACCATTGGATGTTTGAATGCGTGATATAAAAGTGACGCTCTCAAATTTGGAACAATAGTGATAATACGTATTATTCCTTAAATATCTATTTCTGTTTTCGTAAATTTGATTAAATCACTTTCACACCAAATATCCAAACTTCCTATGGTCACCATGGCGGAATCTATTTCCTGGTATATGTTTCCATTTCCTTGCACTGCATTGTTGATGATTGTTTGGATTTTCCTACTAGTACAAATTAACATGCATGCGTACGTACTTACGTATCAGAGTCACCGGTTATAGTAACATCTAAAATAGCGTTATTTTTTTGCAAATACGTACGAAATTAAGTACGTACGTACGTACTGGGGTGGTAAATCAACTAAGTAAATCAAAACTATGTAAGCAAACTATGGAATTTGATACATTACAGATTTTCACGT